GCTGCGCGACGAGCAGCGAGGGAGGGCACGGCTCGCTTCCCGTCCCTCGCTCGGCCTCTTCTCCTCCCTCCTCCCGTCCCTCTTGGCGCTCGGCAGAGTGCGGCTGCGCGGGGCCAAGGGCCGGGGCCGGTCTCGCCGTCCTCTCGGACGAGGCCGAGGCGTGAATCCGGGGGGGTGGCGGCAGAGGGCATGCTCGGGGCCGTTCTGGGAGGTACGAGTTTGGGAGCAGTTTTCCTGGAAGGTTCTGAGATGCGTGGTAGGAGCTGGGTAGAACAGAGGTTGGGGAGGGCACAGAAGGAGTCGGGGGCAGATGCCAGAGGATGTTGGGAGAAGAGAAATGGATCTGGGAGGTAAAGAGGGAAATTGCCCATGACAGAGAAGAGTGATTTGCAGATTGGGCAGATAAATGATTATATTTTTTCCAACAACGTCTACCTCAAGGGTGTTCAGAAAGGCAGAGGAGTGAGCGTCAGTGGGATAACTGAAAAGGAAAAAGGAGTAGGAAAAGGTTGGCCAGCAACAAAGGGGAAAATGTATTATGCAAGTGGACAAAGGCAGGATTTTAGAAGGTGAGGATAAGGGGTTTGGGAAAGCCAAAATTTTATGGGCCTTGGGAGGAAATACATGTGAAACTGAGGTGATGATAAGCTTGGTTGCCTTATCATGGAGGTTAGAAAAAGAGCTGTTGAGGGGGGGATTTTAACTGTAAAAGGATTTTAATTATGGGAAATATGCATGAGTGAAAGCATTAGAAAAGTAAGAAATAAGGGAAGCACTGCAGGAATTGTTGGACAAGGGACTTGGAGATCAAAAGACTAAGTCCCAGCTTGAAAGACTTTTTACTTTTAGCCAACCTAATTTGAAGCACATATGAGCATGTAGATTCATTGCTTTTAATGTTTGCTGATGGGGAAGAGAAGTTGCTGCGGAACTGAACTTCTGATGAAAGCTCATGAATGGCTACTGTCCCTCAAGTGGAAAATGACTGAGAGATGAGATGGAATACACACTGAAACTGGAGCAGGAATTACTGGGTTTACACTAAAGTGTGTCATTGAAGTATTTACTTCAGAAATGAGAGAAGGAAATGTCAAATTCGTCTCTTAATCCAGATTATCATTTATGTGTAGCATAACCTGTTTCTCCGTTGCCTTCCAGCAACTTTTTGGCATGACCTACAACGCTTTAAAATGTTTCTCTTTTTCAGTCAGAGTTTCATTCTGGTCTCTTCCAACCCCTTGTATTTCAGCTGTTCTGGGGCAGATGTAGTGAACTGTAGTGAAATTGTGTCTGGCACAAGATTTGTATGAGTGATTTACAATAATCGAAGTATTGTAGGCACAGAGTAGCCAGGGTATAGATTGAATTTTTTTTAAAAAAAAAAAAAAAAGAAGAAGAAAAGCTAGCCTACTTTAGTGTAGGACTATGTAATCCATATCATAACTTTGTTTTTCTCTCTTCATTATTCTTCCTGCGCTGTGTTGTGCAGCATCTTCCTTCTTGTGACTCATCAATCCTACCACTGTACCACTGTCTAAAAAGAATTTAAAATACTTTGTATGTATAGCTGTTTTTGCAAAAGTTCTTACCAGAGGTCTAGAGGGATGATACTTTAGTAGCCATCTCTTGCATAAAAATAGTATGCCAGTCTGGACTTCTGGGTGCTGTTGTAGTACTGGTGAAAATAATGATGATTAATAATAAATGTTTAGCTGATTGTTCATAGGAGTTGAAATGTCCCTGGGAGTTACCTGTGGAGCTGCTGGTGAGAATTTAGCACACATGAAAGAAGGAGAGATCAGTGTTTTCAAGTTATTTCTGAGCTTTGTTGTCTCTGCTTTTTTGGTGGTCATTATGAAGATCTGTAGCTAATTGTAAAACCTTTTGTGAAAGGCCCCACTCAGAGGTGCTATTTGGTACCAGTTTGTATTATGTGTAAGAAATCTCTTTTGCTTCCTTGAACTGTTACGTGTCTGCATTTGAGATAAGGTACTGCAAATTATTTTCCTGGATACACTAGCAAGTTAAAAGCAGTGGAAAATTCAGTCATTTTCTTAAAGTATGTACTTGTGAACATGCCATAATAGACATTTATTTGTACATCCAAAAGATGGTTTTTAAAATTATTGCTGCATATAAAATTCTCATGTTTTAATCACTGGGACAGCAGCAGAATTTGATATGTTGACCATCTAGACTCAAAGGTAGTAATAACTTGTGCATAAGAATCTGTTCCATTGAAAATGAACTATAAAATCCCTGAAAACTCATTTATTTTGAGTGACTATGTATTCACTTGCTTTTGAAGCTTGCTTGTACGATGGAATAAGCAATGAGTGAGATATGAGTGTAAAGACATTTGGTTTTGTAATGAACTGACAATATGTTGATTGATTATGGTTTGTGGTGTCTATACCATCATGTAAAAAGTTGAGTTCACCTCCTTCTGCACCTGTCCCCATCCACCCTTCATTGGCCATGTTGCTTATGTCTTTGTTTTGGATTCCTACTCAGCTTTAACAGAAGCTAAATGACTTTCACAATAAAGGAACTCAAGGTTAGAGTTGGGATTAGCTCATACTGACAGCATGGATCCACCTGTATTCTGCTGGCTCCATAGCAGTTTATTCATCGTTCTCCAAAGATACAACCTTTGGGTTATTGTATAACTCTTCACTGTGCTGCGATATACCATGCTGCCATTAAGCTACCAACATAGCCCTACCCTTTTAAAATATGTATACTGGACTGTGAAATAGCCATGTCATTTCTGGGAAATCTGTCTGGCCTATGCTACGTAGCCAATACAGTTGTTTGAGCACTAAAAAAAAAAAGAGCAGAGTTCTTATTATTTTGAGGGATTATGCCTGAGTGATCAGCTTCCTTCTGAGAAAAAAATCTTTGGTGGTTTTATGAGGCTGTCTCCTTGGACACCATCCAAACTTTGTAAGGTCAAGGTCCTAAGAATTCAGGGTGGTCTACCTCAGGACTAAAGGATGCAACTACTGTTCTGAGGCCATGTATCATCACCTACTTCTGTGAGGACATAAACAAAATATAATGCAGTTGCTTTCCAGCAAGCCCTTGATGGCATATGGTCCCCTTCAAGAAAGAGAGAGCTTTATCTGAGCTCCATGGTTAGGTATCAGTCATAGGTCCCCTCTTGAAATCTGAGGATAGGATGACAAAGTGTTTCTTCACATCTAGACACAGTGTCCATGAAAAGGGCCCAGCCTAAGTATGAGCTCCAGAGGACTGAAGCCCTTGTGCAGCCTTTAGAAGTACACTGTACTTATAACCCTCAGCTCTTGGGGCGTGTAGAAATTCAGGCATACTCCTCTTGGTTTTTTGTTGCCCATTATATTCCTCATGCAGCATCTGGAATCCATGATTGTCTCTGAGTTGTTTAAGCTCTTTATATAGCCAGCAAAAAGCTAAGTGTATCACGAGCATTCTGGAGAATGTTTTTTGGAGATTCCTTTCTACCCTGTTGATTCTGCAGGAGCTTAGGCAGTAATTTGAGGATTCATTTGTAAGTAACTGAGGTTTTCAGCTTTTCCTGGCACCTTCTCCATGGAGGGGCCCCAGTGTGTATGTACTGGTTCACTCCTAGGCTCATTCAGTGCAAATCTACTAGGTCCAACCAAGAGGAAACCCCGACAGGATAGTTTCTCTGGTGTTCATTCCTGGCAGGCAGTATGGATAAGGACCATTCCAAAATGTGTTCTAGGACAGTTCTTCCATATTCTCCCTTCAGACTTTGCATACCTTCCTTGCTTCCTTTTTGCTTTCATTCCTCTTGCTTTTTTTTCCCTCTTATTTTTTGAAAATACGTTTCAAAGATTTCCTGCTTCAATGGAATTTTACTGTAATTAATGGAATTTTACTGTAATTAATTCAGACTACATATTTTGCTTGGGTTTTATATCTTTTAGATCTGACCAATATGAATGCACTGTTAGCATACAGTTCTCATTTCTACCACCGGTTTATATTGTATTATTTATTTCTCCATTGCTATTTTTTTTCCTTTGTCTGGGGAGAAAGGGATAAACTAATTAAATATAAGTGCCAGATAGCAGTTCTAAATAAGGAATAATTATTAAAAAAACCCCGTTTTATTATGACACATCGTGTTACAGTAGGGCACACATTGACCGTAAGTTAAATTTTTTAAATTTTTTAATGTTTTTTTTCATTCTACCTGCTTAAAGTCAGTCAGTGATACAATGTAATTAGATAAGTGTGTTGGTAGTGTCATGCTAAAGGTGGTTCAGAAGCATGAAAATGTTATTGTAAAGCAATTGTAGTAGGGTGGCAATTGTTTGAAAAGTAGTTGTTTCACAATGATATATGTTAAATAGTGTATTATATTTAAACTGGTTAAATGCAACAACTTGTCTTCCTTTAAAAAAATTGATTTATCTCCTGAACTTACTAGAATCTTTATTTCTGTAGTTGTACAAAGAAGATAAATCTCTGTTATAGGCATTCTAGAAGTGTTTGTAAACAAGCCTTTTAATGTCCTTCTGAAAACTGAGTTTACAACATTGTAACAAGGGTATTTTTGTGTGTTTGTTTGTTTCTATCTAAATTGTACCCTGTCTCTTGACAAATTGCTATGGACATGCATGTAGCATAACAGTTTTATTGTCAAGTCTTTACTGTCAGCCTAACAATGTCCTTCCAGGACACTATATAGGGAAATGTGAATTCCTCAGGGTCTTTATAGTGGTAATCAGTATTTCTGAAATTTCTTTTGCACTGTTATTTAAACTTTAGCAGGAACATCATATATAGTCCTGAAGAGGAATAATTTTGTTTTGTTATCTCACTATTTCTTGTGTCATCCAGATTAATGCACGCCTATGTCTTTTAAATACACAAAGTAATGGGTAAAAGTAACAGCAATGATAAATCTGGTGCTTCAGCTATGTTACTACT